TGTCTTCACCGGAGTACCAGGCAAGATCCACGATGCAAGAACATTTTCATTATCATTTATTCGGCCTAAAGTGCTGATGGGACGAGACTTTCATATACTGGGAGATGCCGCATATCCAATAAATGAAAACGTCATGACGCCATATCGAGAGTATAGAGATTTGACAGAAGAACAACGAGAATTTAACTACCGATTTTGTCGTACAAGAGTTAAAATTGAAAATGCTTTCGGGCTCCTGAAACAAAGGTGGAGGCAGTTGATACGGACGGATATGTGACGTGTTTTGAAAACATCAAAATTTATAATTTCATGTTGCATGATGCACAATTTATGCATTGAACGGAATGATTTTCTAAATGAGTTAGAAAATAATGCAAGAAACGACCAAGAAAATTTTGTAAATCATGACGACAATGCTAGACTTGGTCAGCTGAAACGTGATGAATTGGCTAGACAATTTGTATAAAAATTGACTCAATCTCTACTACTAAACTTAACACAAAATGTTGACATAATTAATATTGACATTGTGAAAGAAAATGTATTGTAAATTGTAAAGAATATATAACGATTGAATATATGGACCAATTAAAAACATTTATTTAAAAAAGTCTCTTTACACTTTTTTATTTATGATGAATTTTTCATTTTATTCAAATTTAACAAATACAACTTTTAATTTGTTTTTTCCTTCATAATAGTTTAATTATACATAGCAATAAACTTATTTGCAAAAACTTATAGAAACTTATATATGGTCTTTATCAAGTATTATTTTACCATAAAATAGCAAATTTTAGTTATAAAAACTTCAAAAAATAAATTAAAGGTCAAAAGTCGAAATATCTTAAAAAAAGGATACATTACAAACATCACAGCACAAAATATCACAATATAAATCCGACATGGCACTGAAAAATACAAAGTACAATTGCTTCCAGTGCGATCATTTTCTAGTGCCACGCTTCCTTTATACAGCATCAAAATATAAAAAAAAAAATATCAGTTTTTGGTATATGGATATTTTATAGCTTTGTGAATTTTGAACATTTGAAAAAATGTATCTTGTGATATTTAATCAATGATATTTCGATGAAACTCTAGAAAAGAAATTTCAAAATTCAAGTTTGTATAACAATTCAAAAATTTTCATAAAAAATTTGACAAGTTTACATTATCCTTATTATGTAGATAAATAGATATTAGAAAAACTCTAAGTTATAATAACTATGAGAAGCCGGGCTTTGAACGAGCGACGTGCTCCCGCCCTTCTAGAGGGCAGCTCCCGAGTGGCGCGAGCCTCGGGGCGCCACGCTTACGTGCGGTCGTTGTGGGAGCTCACAAGAGCTCACGGTGTCATAGAATTCAGACGTGTATTGTACGAAGAGCAAATATATCATATAGAGAGTTATAGAAATACGTGTGTTTTTCCTGTCCACCTCGCCACGAATACAGTCACCGTTATCGAATAGCCTACAGGTTATGGGCCCAGGGCACGATTCCCCTGCGTGAAGAACGAAGCACGAAAACATCAAGTCGAACGTGTGAAGTGTGTGAGACGCCGGCGAAGGGCATCGGGAAGACAAAAGCATTTAGAAGAATCATTTAGAAGAATCTAGAAGATTAGAGGGTAAGTAAATAATATTCCTCGTTGCTGACGAGCAAAACGAGAGAATTCTCAGCAAATAAGAACGTTCGTTCGATAAATGCTGTTAGAAGGAAATAGATGTTTTTGCCTTCTTCTTGAGAGATAGAAATAGAGGCAACAGTGACAATAAGAGAATTAGAGATAGATGTATAAAGAGATAGATGTGTGAGATATAAAGAGATAGATGTGTGAGATAGAAAGAGATAGATATATGCCGCTTGGTAACAAGCTGGCGGGAAAAGCGATGTGCCTGTGCAAGTCCGATCGTGAACGGCGAGAGTCACTTTTTTTGACGCGCGAAAGTCCGATCGTGAAAAGTGAGTCATTATTTTGGCGGGAGGGACGCGTTGCCGGGCACGCGCTGACGCATGATCGATTTGAAAAATATAGCATCGATGCGACGCCATAACACACATATATATATATATATATATACAGGCATGTGTATGGAATAAATTTTCAAAATCGACATGTAT